AGGGTGAATCCACCCAAACCACCACAGTCCACTATGAGAGATCAAAGGTCTGTGTCCTCCAAATGAGCTTTGGTTATTGATCACAAAGAAGAAACTGTAAGAGAAAGCTGACCAACCAGGGGTTAAGAGAAAAGCATGCACTTTTCCTGATTTACCTGCTCTTTGGGGGGTTAAACACAGAATTTTTGGTTTGCAGGTCTTCATCTGCTTTCACGAATGCTATATCCATTTTAAGAGTTAATTAAATACATTACAAATTGTAGGAACTGCCAAGAAAAATAGAGCTCTATTTGGTTTTACAAACCCTTAGACATATTAAAGTAAGATCAATGCCTTAAGCAGTTCCATATCAGTCCTACCATTCTGCATCTCTAAAATTTATTTGTGCTTTTTTTGTTTGTTTCTTTTCTAGGGTTGCTTTTTCCTGATGGAAAATTTGTGCAGGAAGTGGAGAAATCAGTGACTGATTTACTTGACAATATTTAGCTTATATGAAGGTTTCGGTTTTTTACAGATGTTCTACAAAGCAGACAACTAATGCTCTGCTCCCTGCACAGGCACTCCAAGGTCATATTTCTTTGTTTTCACCACACAGGTCAGATCCCATCATCAGGAAAAACTAATTTCAAAGCATCTTCCATCACAGGCACTTCAAAATAATGAAACGAAACAGCCAACCAGAAAAAAATCCTATCTCTTTAACCCATCAACCCTGTGCCAGCGATGCAGAACTCTCCTCAAGCTCTGGCAGTAAGGTTTGCTAGTCAGGTAGTGAATTTGCTCCTGTGACTTAGACCTCCATATTCATTTCTCTCTTCTGCAGGACGTTTACTTCAAGCATTGGTAACAGCTGGCTGTGTCTGCTTTGGGTCTTTTAGCATGTCCACATTACGCTTTTCTGCGTGTTGATTTGAGTACTTTAAACACTCGCTTTGTTCTCTATTGTAGGTCATGGGTTATATGGGACTTTTGAAATGTTGTCCTCCTGGAGAAAAACTAGAGAAGATCAACACGTTAAAGAGAGGACTGCAGCTGTATTTGCAGACTCCATGCTCTCGTTTTCCCTCACCACTGCCATGTACCTGGTCACTTTCGGAATAGGTGCCAGTCCCTTCACTAACATTGAAGCAGCCAGGATTTTCTGCTGCAATTCCTGTATTGCAATTTTCTTCAACTACCTCTATGTACTCTCCTTTTATGGTTCCAGCCTGGTGTTTACTGGCTACATAGAAAACAACTACCAGCATAGTATCTTCTGCAGAAAGGTACCAAAGCCAGAGGTATTGCAAGAGAAGCCTGCATGGTATAGGTTTCTTCTGACAGCCAAATTCAGCGAGGACACGGCGGATTCAGAGGAAACAAACACTTACGAGAGTCATCTTTTGGTGTGGTTCCTGAAACGCTATTATTGTGACTGGATAACAAACACTTATGTCAAGCCTTTTGTAGTTCTCTTTTACCTTGTTTATATTTCCTTTGCCTTAATGGGCTACCTGCAGGTCAGTGAAGGGTCAGACCTGAGCAACATCGTAGCGACCGCCACACGGACCATTGAGTATACGACTGCCCAGCAGAAGTATTTCAGTAACTACAGCCCGGTGATTGGGTTCTACATCTACGAGTCGATCGAGTACTGGAACACCAGTGTCCAGGAGGATGTGCTGGAGTATACCAAGGGCTTTGTGAGGATATCTTGGTTTGAAAGCTACTTAAATTACCTTAGGAAACTCAACATATCTACCGGATTGCCCAAGAAGAACTTCACTGATATGTTGAGGAACTCCTTCCTAAAGGCCCCTCAGTTTGCCCATTTTTCAGAGGATATCATCTTTTCCAAGAAATACAACAACGAAGTTGATGTCGTGGCCTCCAGGATGTTCTTGGTGGCCAAGACAATGGAAACCAAGAGGGAAGAACTTTATGACCTCCTGGAGACCCTGAGGAAGCTCTCTCTCACCTCCAAGGTGAAATTCATTGTTTTCAATCCATCGTTTGTGTACATGGATCGTTATGCCTCTTCAGTGGGAGCCCCCTTACAAAACTCCTGCATTAGTGCTTTATTTCTGCTCTTCTTCTCTGCATTCCTGGTGGCAGACTCTCTGATCAATGTCTGGCTCACTCTAACTGTTGCCTCAGTTGAATTTGGAGTTATAGGTTTTATGACCTTGTGGAAAGTGGAACTAGATTGTATTTCTGTGTTGTGCTTAATTTACGGAATTAATTATACAATTGACAACTGTGCTCCACTGTTATCAACCTTTGTCCTGGGCAAAGAGTTCACAAGAACTAAATGGGTGAAAAATGCCCTGGAAGTGCATGGGGTAGCTATTTTGCAGAGCTACCTCTGCTATATTGTTGGTCTGATTCCTCTTGCAGCTGTGCCTTCAAATCTGACCCGTACACTGTTCAGGTGCTTGTTTTTAATAGCATTAGTCACCTTCTTTCACTGCTTTGCCATTTTACCTGTGATACTGACTTTCCTGCCACCGTCCAAGAAGAAAAGGAAAGAGAAGAAGAATCCTGAAAACCGTGAGGAAATAGAGTGTGTTGAAATGGTGGATATGGATAGTACCCGAGTGGTTGACCAAATTACAACAGTCTAACTTGTTTGTTTGTTGCTTTTTTACATGAGGTCTTACTGAGGGAAAAAAACAAAAAAAAAAAAAAAAAGAGAAAAAAAGAAAAAAAAGAAACCAGTACTGACTAACTAACTGGGGAGAGGAAGAGGTTTGGAGGTTTTCCCTCCCCACTCTGAGCTAAATCCAGGAATATTCAAAATTATGGGAGAAATTTAAAAAAAAAATTAAAAAGAGCTGGAGGATTGTACCTTGCTCAGCTCCTGTAACAGGTATTACAAGAGAATTTGCACACACATGCAAAGAAGGGTTGAATTTTATATGCATGAAGTAAGATCTAATGAGAGAAGTTGGGTTCCTAAGCAGTCATCTGCATCGCCTGTACTGCAGATGCTGCAATTATTGTGGCTAAACCCAATCAGACTGAAAGGTCAACTGTCAAGGCTGAAGTAGCACTAAATGTTTGCTGGATGTAAAGGCTTTACAAACTTTCTGCACAGCAATAACTCAAGTCAGTGAGTCAGCTCTTATAGGTCTTAGCCATCACATATAATTTTTCTTTTCTCCCCTAATCTAAACATTTATGCAAGACTGTATAACAGATAGCAAACTGTACTGGGAAAGAAGGCAGTACACAGCAACCAAATGCTTTCCAAACACTTTTATGTTATAAATCACCTTTTTTTTTTTTTTTTTTTTAAAAATATAATTTTAAAATGTAAATCATCCCTTGTAATATTTTTAATCATGGTTTTATAGCTGTTTCTTTTCTTATAAAAACAAAAAAGAACAAAAAAACCCAGTGACTCTGTCACTCTAGAAAATATATAATTCTATTTTATACATATCTCGCTAGTTAAACACGTAATCTGCTTTACCAACTGCAATTTTGTTAGCACTCTACTAACACGTGCAAGTGGATCTAGCAGCAAGCAGAAGATGGTGTACTGAATATTTCAGCACCAAAATCCATGACACAAACCTCAAATACTAAAATGTCATCAAGAAAGTGAATGTTAGGGCTCTTTTAGTGAGAGCCTATTTCAGGCCATTCACTGGTAACGCACACTAAGAGGATTAGTGGGTAGTTTTACGTAATGTATAACTTAATCCCTCAGTCTTCCTAGAGCACCTGTGAAGCAATAGACCTTGCAGCTATGGGCTCTTCCAAGAGACAGTAGACCGTGAGAGTTGTTTGGAACAAACCAAAGGTTGGGACTTCGGTTTAGCAGCAGCAAGTTTAACAATGTCCCCAAAGAGCCCATATCTAAGGGGCCTATTGAACACCATGTCTGAGGGAATAAAAAAAAAACCAAAACCAAACTTAAAAAGATTACATTACTGAGTCTTTTTGGAGCTGTGAGTTCTAAATCAATAATTCTGTCAGCATCTGTGATGTGGAGTAATGCAGAAAAAGAAGCATCTCTTTCCTCCTCCACCCCCTCCACCCTTAAGAGTGACAGGCTCGTTACTGTAAGGTTTTATCATGTGGTTGAACCCCAGTGGGGATACGTAACCCAACTCTGTGGGTTTTGCTGAGAGTATTCCGACTATACATTGTCTGCAAAAACCCAGTTGCCGGAAGCTGGCTGGTGTGTGGGGTGGTCTCATGAATATATGGACTGTTGCTTTGTGGTGCAAGGTGAATGTATTGCAACCAAACTGCTTTTTACAGCTCGTCGGGAAAGTAAGAGTACTTGAAAAGTTTTCAGCAATTGGCACAATGTTTGCCTCAATCCCAGTGTCTGGAGGGCGAAGGGATACTGCAGGAGCCACGGGGCTTGGGCCACTGGGAGTCCACCTGTGTTACCCATATGGGGATGAGCACATCTGTGGTCACAAACCGAAGGTATGCTTCATTGCATGAAATTTATCTTTAGCATCCAGTCCCAGTGACCCCCAAATCACCTTGTGCAAAACCTGCAAATGCCGCCTAATGAATATTAATTTTCAAGCAAAGAGACACTTCTGCAGCTTCCTCCCTAGCAGAAAATAAGATAACTAGATATTTTGCCCTGGAGCAAAATGTTACATACCGACTAGCAAAACAAGTCCGCCGTGCAGCTGGCAACGTTTACTTTCCCCTGGATAAGTCCCTTCTCTGACCAGAAGCAAAGGAAGCTGTGTCCAGGAATGCACAGGCTCTTTGCTTGAACAAACAACATTTGCTGCGGTAGCAGCTGGGAAGCTGTAACAACAACTTCAGCCTTGGCAGGAATCAGGCGGACACCTTGAAGACAGCCAAATGAATGTGAGGCTAGGGGAAAGATCTGTTTCCCCTGTTTTCTTTAGATTCAGGCTTAGGGCTGTGTTTTTCAGCCAAAAATCATTCCTTGAATATACTTCACTAGATTTTCTGTGACCATCATTATGCCATTTAAGTAACAGTCACCCTATCTCCTGGCTGTTCAACAGGCAGCCGCAGTGGCTTTTAAACTTCTGAGGGCATTAGCAAATTAGTTGAGAGTTACAGAGGAATTGCAAACCACTTTTGGCAGCAGCAATCTACTGGCTTGTGGGACACCTGGAAGTGGGAGATGCGTGAAAGAGGCTGTTTGTACACTGCAGAGAGGAATACACGGCAAACACTGATTTTACACCTCTGCTATCCCTGATGCTATCATTTGCAAACACCCGACACAAAGCCGACTACCATAAACCTCTTCACATCTAATTGAAATGCATAGGTAGGAGCATCTTTAAAGAGATGTCCGAAGACAAGCTTGTAGTTTCACAGATCTCTCATTAAATCTCAGCATGTGAGGCCTTCGGAGATCTTCAAGGAGGGTGATAAAACCAGTGATAAAATTACTCCTCTAGCTCCAAACCTGTCAGAAAAGGGATAAAAAGGCACTCTTATGGCAAAGTGCTGGAGAAAGTGCTTGGGTGTCCACAGAAGACAGGACGAGAAGTCACACAGCCCACCCCCTTGCCCCAAGGCAGAGCCAAAGACATTTAAATCAATTATGAAGGATGTTTGTCCAGCCCCTTCTTAGAAATCTTTTTAAGAGCAGATTCCTCCCCTAGCAATTTCCCCCAGTGCTGTGTTACCCCACCAGTAACTAGCAATCCTGCTGGCCACCTGGGACTGGGAGGGGGAAGAGGAGCCATGCACCTCTCCAGACAGGAAGGGACAGGCCAGGCAGGAGACAGCCACTGAAGCATCCCCAAAACAGAGGAGACCCAAAACAGAGCCTAAAACAACTTACATTTTTCACTGTGTTTCACCTCAAGCCGCCATTCTGATCCCCACTTCCAGGCTTGGCGAGGTAAAGCCATGAAAATATCCAAGACATACTCAGCCCAGGTCCATGAGATTTCTGCCTGAATTCTGATGTGTCTGAGAGATGCACCAAATACTCTTTCTCTGCTGGTAGCTTGAATACCTCAAAATGAACCAGAAACGGCATGTTCTCAAGGTTTCAGATTATGTTAACCCACTTTGGCCTTCCTCCCCTGTGACTTTTTCCTCTGGAGCAATTATCTTCACCAGAGTAAATTGGTCCTCACTGTGCCGATTCATTAATAGGTGAAGATGCTGTGCTCTCTTCTTAATCCAAAGCACTCTCGGTGGCTCACTGTGCATAAAATCTTACCCTTACTGGTGAACCTCCATTTTGGAAGACTACCTAGACTTAAGCAGTTTTTTGTCATACTTTTAAGTGGCTTTTTAGCCCAGGTATCACTGTGGTTTAGCTTGCAATATAGATGACCCAATTTTTCTATAAATTCACTGAGTATAATAGAGTATTATACACTGTCAGGCACTAACTAAAATTTAACAGCAAAAATTTTAACTAAGGCTAACAAGACTATATAGGACTGTGGCTCACAGAGCACGTATATCTTCTACAAACATTAAAATTTCCATACAGTAAGGTATGATGTACAGTATATTTTTACTATTGGGTAAGCATGGGGAAAAAGAACCAACCTAAGTGCATATGACCGTCAAGATCAGTCTAGTTTTGTTATAATTCATTTTCAGTTTACAAGTACTCTATTTGGAGGAACAAATGAAGAGAGAAAAGTTGGTATAGTTGGAATAACTACGCTATAAAAATTGATTGATGAAGCCAGAATTTTCTGCCCAAAGGTTTAAGCAAAATTTCTCTAGTTAGATTAAAATTAGAGCTGTGAAGGCTGAGAAAAACCTGTCTGGCAAAAGAAAAAGAGCTTGTTTTCCAAAGACAAGCAAACACACTTATCATAGTCAACTGCATGAACCTGGAGGGAAACAGTACCAAAGTGGCCTGAGGTTATGCTGAGCCACATGAGGATTTGCATCTGCTCTCAGAAGTGTTCTGAGCCAACGCTGAATTCAGGTAAAATATGTACTGTAAATTGAAAGGTGTACTTTTAAATGCTTTTTTCTAGGCTGACTGTCCTCCTGTGAGCCACCAAATCCCACCTCAACCAACACCTTGTTTATTTTTACTCAAAGAGAAAACAAAAAGAGAGTGGCGGCACAACTGGGTGGAGTTTGGGAGAGTCAGAAGGAAGACCATGACTCCTCTTAAAAACAGTGAGAAAGCCAGAAACAGCTCTTTAGCAGGTGGTTTTTGTGGGAGAAGAACGGGTGTTTCTCCTATTCGTTAACTTTGCGAGTAGGTAGCATGTTCAAGGAGGTGTGGGGAAGGGAAGCAGAGTTCACAGGAGTTAGCCTTGGGATGGCTGTGGACCCCCAGCTGCTGTAGCTGCTCTCATGTGGTTGGGAGCTGCTGGCAGGATGGGAGCGCAGGATGAGGCTGAGGCAGCTCTGCTGAGTGGTCTTGGAGATGCCAGACCAAGCACTATGGCAGGGACACTTCCCATGTCACTGTGCGACAGCCCAGCCCGGCAGCTCCTGGCGTGCACAAGCTGCCACGGGCACAGCTAGCTCCTCATGTCATGACAGCGCTGCTGGGCTTTGCTGAACCAGAGCTCGTGGGGTAAGGCATGAGCCCTGTGGGAAACCACTTTTTGGAAGACCCTGGTCAGAAAGGATTACCCAGAGCCTTTTCCTCCCCTGCTTTTGCAGGTATTAG